CTTTTTTATTTTTGTAAGCCAGATGAAAAAGAGCAACCAGCTGTTTTTGGACAGTTTTATCATTTTAGATATTGTGATCACAGATCACGTTTTACAATACATGCACAATGTAATTCAGCAGTATTTGCGGCAGCACTGAGATTCAAAAGTGCATCTCAGACAATCAGCCTGTGTGTTTCAGGTTCAGCCTGATCAGCATGTAACAGTTTACTTGTTCATAGTTTTGTACTGTAAATACTTCAACCACAAATATATACCACATTTTTTAACTGGTAACCAAACAAACACGTCTTTGAACTGAGGGAGAAAACAGAGACCACAGAGAAGGACCCCCGCCATCCAAAACCTTCTTTATTAAAGAGAAAGTTCTCACCATAGGACTACCACTTTCTCCGACAAAACACTAAATCTACTTGTTCCTCACTACAGCAGCAACTACACAAAAACATTATCACCAAACACTGCCCCCTAACGGTGAAGATCTTTATTAAATTTAGCTAAATCTGATTACAAGAAGAACCTTTACGGAACAAACACTGATGCTGTTGCAATGTATTATACATATTTACAAATACATATTTAAAAGCAGTGCACGATGATGTAGAGATTTATTGCTTTTTGTTTTATTTGAATTGAACCAATGTTTGAAGTATGTTTTCTCTTTCATAAATAAAATCATTTATATAATAAAATAATGAATAATTGTGGGTAAAAGCTCATCTAATGCAGGAACTGAACATTTGACCCCCTGACCCATCCCTGGCTTAGTTCCTACCCTTTGTGGTCAAACACAACTACACATCAATGTTGTTGTTGTTGTTGTAAACAAAGTGTTTAGATTGACATGGAAAAAGAGTAACCAGCTGTTTTTAAGAGTCTTTTAGTTTTAGATATTAAGGATAACAATCAAGTCTAACAACATAGATCACAATCCAGTCCAATAATATTCTCTAAACTTTGCATTTCTTTTTGTTGAGAATGGGTTTGACCCATAAAAGGAGTTTTGATATGTCTCTATAGATGTTGGGCACATCCAGATACTCATAAATTCTGCGAGGAGGAAATATTATATTTGATTTTGTTTTACTGAGGTGCACCTCAGTAAAGTTAGCTATGTTGCCACCACTACAGATTGTTGGACAGCACACCAGCAAAGTTTAATATGGGGCACGACTCATTGGATAGATGAGGAGATCTGCTGTCCCACACCTTTCATGTCCTAGCTGGTGCTTTCTGCTTTTGGTTTTTTTATCCAAGCCACTGCAAACCAGGTCATTCTACTATTACCCTCAAATCTTATGTCTTTTTGCCAATAATCACC